TATTTTCTGTATTCTTATGCTTTGACATCTGGGGCCCTGTGGACCCTGGAGGGACCACCCTCCCCAGAGTTAGCCAAGTCCTAGAGACAGTAAACAACTCAATGGAGTTCACTTTTCAAATGCAAACCAAACAATCCAGAGCTCAACCCCCAACCACCTCCCTTATTGGGCTCTCATTCTCTGGGTCATTATCCATCTGCCCTAATCACCCAGGGATCAGGTACCAGAAAACTAAGGAGAGTCCTCATGCCCTGGGTCTGCTGAAATTAATCAAACTGGCTAATCCTAAACCTGCATACCCTGACTCACCTATTCCTTCTGTGGAAACCACAATAGAGGCGCTTATTAACAGTTTCCCCTTCTGTCTCTCCATCTCATACCCTGTGTGACCCCTCCCCAAGCCCATGTGCCCTCTCTAGCGATCTATGAGTATAAAAAGCTATCTTTTCAATGGCAGTTGTCTCCTGATCTATTGGCCTTGCCATACCTAAATAATAATAAAACCTATATTTTAAAATGTCCTCTTCCTGCAGGCCATGGCTAGGGAAGCAGGGCTTGCATCCTCTTGGTTTACTCAACCATCTTCTGCCTTAGACTGTGACATAGTTACTGCCTGCATATATGATTGCAGAATGAGAATCAGAATCCCTTTGGTTGCGTGTGGCCAGAAGCACATGCTTGACAAGCAGATGACGCCTTTGTGAAAGGGCAAAGGCAGCCCCTCCTGGAGCCAAGCCCAGCTCAGCAGGTGGAACTCTGGCCTGAGAGCAGCTCCACCTGACCCCTTGGCTGGTGCTCTTGTTCTGTACACAACTTGTGTATCCGTATATGGCAGCCCTGGCCTCTGAACACCCTGAAAATAAGTTTCCTATTAACTAAGCCTGGTCAGAGCTCAGAAATAAAGAAGGGAAGTTTGTGTGTGTATGGGGAGAGTGGGGGAAGACAAGGAGTAGTGAAAGGTAACAGTGAGAAAAAGAATGCAAATGATAAAATGCTTGTTATAATTTTAAGGAAACAGTAATCTCTCTGCTTGCTTGCCCTTCTGTCCATTTTTAAACCTCTGTTCTCTAATTAAGCTATAGATTTTTCAAGCTAAATCTTCTATTAGTTAGAATCAATCCTGATTTCAAGGCTTGAACAATGTAGACTCAACTGAAAAAAAAGATCCATGTGCTTTCTTTAAACAAAGGAAATTACCATTTATTAAGGGGAACCACTGTCAAGTCTGGCTTCCTATACAGTCTAATTTCAAAAATTACTATCAGTCTTTACTTTGCAGATTGCTCAATGTTCTTATAGTAGTTATCTAGATACTGAAAATAAATAGTGAAAATACTAACAAAGAAGATAATCTTAGTAGGGGATACTATATTATTTTCAATCTTCTCACAGGGAGGAAATTCACTCTATATGGCATTTCTCAATGTTAAACTACTTTTTTTAAATTAGAAGCAAAATATTATAGACCCCAGCTTTGAAATATTTTTCTATAATTAAAGTGAAAAACCATACTAAATTTTTCTCCAATATATTCATAACAGTATTACACACAAAATAACCAAATAACCAGCCCAAATACATGTAATCTCCAAAATTTTGAAAAATTCTGATTTGAGAATCATATAAATGATAATAAAAGTGCAATAAGAACTGTTAGCATAGTGCAGGATGGGGGATTCATAAATACACTCATAGAATACACAGTTTGTAACTAAGTACAAATGGATGATATTGCTAATAAACGAGTTTATTGCCAGGCAATAATGAACTTCCACAGAGAAGTATCTGTAACATGTCCAGAAATATCAATGTTTCTAGTAGCCATTAAAATGCTTTATTTGAATATGGACTGTTGAAAATCCAATAATTCATTTTGTGGACTCAGACAACCCCTTCACAGCACAGGCAAAAATCAAACCATCAAGTAAAAAATGTGAGTTTTTCCATTCAGGCTCCTCTCTCCTGACATTTTAGAAATGCTACTTGAAATCCAGCTTCAAATTTGATGCTCCTATGCCTGATGGAGTCCACTGGCAATCAGGTGTGAGGTTTATCACAACTGTCATAATATAGCACTTACCTTGAGAGTGAACTTGGTATAGCAGCAATCACACTGGATTTTAGTAAACTGTACTCTGGCACTAACTATAAGGTAAAGTCAAATTACTTGACCTCTGTATATCGTGGATTCCTAATCTGGAAGTAGGTCTATTTATGGGCAGTTTAATATTAGTATAGTGATCAGAATCATCAATCTCTACAGCCTATCTTGCTTGGTAAAGGTAATAATGCACTGAACTCATTCACAATGGTTTTCATAACTATGAAATCATTTTGCTTCTCTTCCTCTAAAATATAATAGGCTGAGATAGCATGATATAAGAAAAAGTACATATTTGGTCTTCTTCCACATTCCTGGAATAGAGCTTCTAAAACCATTGGAATTTCCTGTGTGACAGGGGTGAAAAGAGCATCTTTTGTGATTCATAACAAGCCTCTTTCAACCATATCAGAATTTTCCACTTTATCAAAGTTTACACTAATGAGGTGACTCTTGGTAGGCCCCGAGATAGCTTCAGCATGGGGTCTGGTTGAACAGACCATGTGATAAAAGGGTTGGAATTTTCAGCCCCACCCCTCTGACCTCCAGGAAGAAAGAGGTGATGAATACTAGGTTAATCACCAATGGCCAATGATTTAATCAATCAAGGCTGTGTAAAATGGAAGTTCTATAAAACTCCTAAAGGATGAGGCTTGGAGAGCACCTGGATTGGCGAACACATCAAGGTTCTGGGAGGGTGACATGCCCAGAGAGGACATGGAAGCAACATCCATAGAGGCCTGCCCTATGCTTTGCCCTATGCTTCTCTTGCATTTGACTGTCCCTCAATTGTATCCTTTATAATAAACTAATAATAATAAGTATATTGTTTTCTTGAGTTTTGTGAACTGTTCTGGCAAATTATTGACCCTGAGGGATGGGGTTGTGGAGACTCCCAATTCATAGCCTATAGTTCAGAAGTACAGGTGGCCCAGACTTGTGGTTTGTCTCCGAAGTGGGGGGAGAGGCAGTCTTGTGAAACTGAGCTCTTACCTGTGGAGTCTTTGCTAACTCCAGATAGTTAGTGTCATAATTGAATTAAATTGAAGGACAGCCAGTCAGTGTCCTCAGAGAATTAAAGAATTGCTTGGTCTTCCAAACCCACACATTTGGTGTCAAAAGTGTTGTGAGTAGAAACAAACTGTAGTATAGGCTAAGATGACCGTGGACATCTTAATAAATTCTTTATACATTAATATAAGTATATAAAAATACCATAAGTTGTGAAAAATAGTTAATTGGTAATTAAATGCAATTAAATGACAAATTGTCCATTCCAAATACATTTCCAAATAAATGATTTGTTGAAGTCCTTACACAATAAGAACTGTATACAACTAAATATTTTCCAGCATACTTACATTGCAGCATGAAGCAAAAATCCCTAGAATTACTGTGGTCATACCTATAGTGAGGTATAACACCCTGTTATTCCTTATCATATCTTTCCCTGCATGCCTCCATTAAGATGATAAAACTCTTTCAAAAACATTTTCTTTAACATTCCAGAATACATCTTCTAAGGTTGCCATCTTCACAAAAACAACACCATATTCAAGAAGACTTCTTAATATAAAGCAAAGGGTACTAGGCCTACATTTCTAAGTTTTTACCTGAGTTCTAATTAGACTTGGAAGACTCTGGAGTTAGAATAAGTAAAAGAGTTATAATCTATTGTAAACTACATAAGAGGATACCTGTCTATGTATTTATCTGCATCTTTAAATTTTACCCCTAAGAGCTTTAAGACATGTAAAGGTTACCTAGTTTATATAAATATTTTAGTAAAGGGTTCTTTTGTTTTAAAAAACAACTTTCAACTTTCTATATTTGAGGAGGGAAGGTTATCATTGGTCCTACAGATCAACCCTGGAACCAGCACCAAATAGTAGTATATATCAGAATTGTCTCAGAAGAAGGTAGAAACCTCACTTCTTGGTAAATGCCTCAAGTCAAGTGGGTATAGCTCAAATCAATTTGAGTGGCAGAGGTACAAATGAATAGGAAAAGGGGGCCAGAACTAACTGGGAAAACATTCTACCATTGTACCCATACATTATATCATGTACATAAAATGTTTAGTACATAATCATTTCTTGGTGTAAACTTTTTGGTTACTTCATCTCTTATATTACCTTAAACCTGCTACCTACACACATTTTTCTTCTGTTTTTCACTTGCTATTCACTTTATCCGAACAATTTAGTTAAGGAATCTCTGATTTTCTGCAGGGGGCTGGGGAGGGGCAGAAAGCTAGCAAAATGGTCTCAAAACTTACTGGAGAACTTTTGCCTTGGGAAAAACTCTGTTTAAAATAAATATTTCATTTCATTTGTCCTGTTTTGTTTGTGTGGATAAGCATAACTGTTAGAGCTGAGAACGCGAATTCTGTGGAGTACGAATAGACCACGTGCAAAGTTATACTGGGAATTTTTGAAACAACTAACTTAAGCTTTCTCTATATTTGGTTGTTTACCCTCATCGCCCAGAACAAAGTGCTTCCTGTGACCTAAAAGTCTAGATCGTCTTTGCCTGTTTTGTGGATGAGAAAAGTGGCACAGAGGATTCATAGACTTGCCCAAGGTCACAAAGATCATAAAGGTGGAGCTAGACCTCTCACTGAGTACTCCTTCTACCACCAACACAACAGACATTTAGATTTTCTCTTTTCTGTAGACCCTTAAGAAGCATCACTTGACAACAAGACATAATGCAGTTTCCAAAACCTGGAGAGGCATCACTCTACTGTCTTTGAAACAGAATGATCGACAGCAAAGAACCTGGAAATGGAGGCTTCTGAACCCTATGGAGGCAGAACAAGGCAGAAAGCTTTTTTTCTTATATACATATATGTTCAATGCCCTAGACTGAAGAACACTATCAGTTCAAAGTCACTTACCCAAATCTGAAGCTTGATTCTCTTTTCATTTTTGAATACAGTTTTTACTTTGAAATCGATCCCAACTGTGCTGACAAATGCAGATGTAAAGGAGTCGTCCGCATAACGGAACAGAAAAGACGTTTTCCCCACACTGCTATTGCCTATGATGAGCAACTTGAACATGTAGTCAAAGTTCTGATCAGATGAGTCTTTCTGGCCATACCTGGCATCTTGGGCAGAGGCCATCTGTGGTAAAAACAAAAGAGGTGTGGATCAGTCTCCCATTTGAGATGAAGCTAGCAGCATGCTCATTATTGGCCTTGCCAGAAACAGATGTCAGACCACTCAAGAGACAAGTTGAGAGAGCTCCCCAGTCTTCCTCTGATGCTGGTATCCATGGCAATAATTCCCTGCTGGAAGACAGAACAGCAAATCTTACAGTTCTTTCCAGCTGTGTTGGTGTTTGTCACTGCTCAGCATTCAGAACCAATCAAAGACACCAAAGGGGACATCTATAAGGGTAACATGAAAAGCAAAGATATGAGGAATTGGCCAAGGCATGTGGGCTCTGTAACTTTATAATCCCAGTGATGGAGACACCAAAGTGACTGAACAGCAGGGTGTTTCTTACTGAAGTATCTGAATTATTAGAGTGTCTCTTATTTTCTAGGGAAGCATACTCAAATCATATCTCTATTTCATCTATTAATATCACATTCAATCAACATCTGAACATAAATGGCAATCTCTTTAAAATTAAAAACAATGATGATGGCAAGTATATATGGTTCAAACAATGTTCCAGGAACTGTTAATTTATTTAACCCTCACAACAACCCCATGAGGTAGGTTCTTTTATTATTTGCATATTAAAAGGAGAAAACTGAGGCTTAGAAATATCAGGTCATATACTCAATTTCATACAAGTGATGTGTATTAGAGGCAGGATTCAAATCAGGCAGTGCGGTGCCAGGGCTCATGTTCTCAACCTCCAAGCTATTTCCCAATGAGGACTAGGAAGATATGCATGTACACTCTAAAAGGTGATGTGGGAAATAGTCATTGTGAGATTTATCAATGAAGAATCCTACCCATATTCAGACCTCAGCTCTACCACTTACTAGATGTTTGACCTTGAGTTTGTTATTTTTAAATTGGTATACCTCACTTTCCTCTTTCACATGAAAAAAAAATATTATCTAACAGAATGCCTGTGAAATATACAGATATAAATGCTTTATATCTGTAAAGCAAATGTGTAAATCACCTGGCATAACACATAGAATGATCTCTATTATTAATTATAAATGCTTCAGGTAGATGTAGATATTTTTATTTTTTTCTCTTTTTTGGTGGGGGGGAACGATCATCCTAACATCTACCAAAAATAACACTGCATTACTTCTAAGTACCATTTGGCTCAATATAGAAAAGAAGAATTTAGAATGGTGAGTCACACTGATTAGTACATTCACTTATTAACTTTTCTGATGCTATGAATTCTTTGGCAATTATTGTGCTGCCCAATAAGGTAGCCACTAGTCATATATGCCTTTTTATACTTAAATTAATTAAACTTAAATAAAATTTAAAATTTAGTTTCTCAGTCACACTAGTCATATTACAAGTGCACAATTGCCACAGGTAGCCAACGGCTACCATATTGACAGCACAGGTACAGAGCATTGTCAGAAGTGCAGAAAGGTCTAATGAATAGTGCTAGGCTAGATGGTCTTTTTTCATTTCCCATAGTCTAATTGACAATTACAACCTTCTTATGGGGGATAGCAAAGAGAGAACCTCTAGCAGATAATGAAGTGCTAGAAACAGGAAATAGACAGTAAATAGTGCTCAGCCTTATCTAAGATAACGATGGATGTTAAAGTCAGGTGTGTGTATGTTTATAGACAACTGAGGG